TAGCATAATTAAGAAATTTTGAGAATTTCTTTTTTGGTATATATATTTAAGCTCTTTTTTAAAGTTGATTACCCAGAAACAGTTTTGATTGTTCGAAAGGAGCAAGCTACAAAAGTTAATGCAACTTTCTTATCTAACAATAAATATAACACACTTTTAAGGAAAGTTTTAAGTTTGAAATGTGTATTTATTTTTTTTCTTAGCCTCAAAAGATATAGAATCATAAAAAGTATGAAAAGTACGTAATATGAAGAAAAAAATCATAAAGAGAAGAAGAATAAACCGTAAAAACAAAAAAGAAAAAGACAAATATGTTAAATAATAAAAAAAAGAAGTGAATGATAAATTTGAATAAGAAATATGGGAAGAAGAAAAAAAATGAAGAATAAGACATGAGAAAAAAACAAGAAACAATATGGACGAAAGAAGAATAAGGATAAAACGATGAAGAAGAAAGAAAAAAATAATGAAAAGGAAAAAATAGGAAACAAAAAACTAGAATTTATCTTAATTAAATTAGTTTGTGGATTATTCAGTTATAAAGTATTTTTAAGTAATTAATTTTATATTGTGTTTATTTTTTAAGTTAATTTTATTTTGATTTTTATGTCTTAAATAGTTATTTTAATTATTTTCAGTTTATAACATAAATTTAACATGATAATAAAATATTATACATTCACTTATTAAAATCAAAAAGATAATTTTTTTCCATCCTTTTTACTTATAAGTTAATCTTTTTTCATTAGTTTGTTTAACAAATACAAATTTTTATTTTGATAAATTAATTTAAAAAACAAACTAATAATTAAAATATTTGCTTTGAGATTAATAACAACTTTAAATTTGAAACTAAAACAATAGTTGAATATGAAATGAATAAAATCATACAAAATTTGTGAATAAATATATTTTTGTCAATTAGTAGTGTATTTAAATAATTTTAAATGATTATATGTCATCTCTTCTAATAAGAATGAAAATTTCTTTTCATCTTCTTCATTTTTATTCTTGTTATATCTGTTTTTTCAATGAATCTATCATATTTATTTATTTTAATAATTTATGTATGATTATATTCAGTTTCATCATATTCATTCTCACTTCTAATTGTAATTAAGTAGATAAAATCAGTACAATTTAATACATACAAATTTATAAAAAATGAAATAACAAATTGAACAACTCAAAACTAAGAACTTCTACATTAATCTACTGAATTCCAAATTGAATATATAAAATGTAAATTTTTTGATCATTTTTGCATAATATATTATATGAGAAAAAAATATTACATACTTTCGCATAATATATTACATATTTCGATGATACGTTTTGCATATGTTAATGAAAAAGATGAATATAAATCATAAATATTAGTTATTTAAAATTCTACATGAAAAGTTTTAAAATCAAGTAACTTAAACTTGTATAAGTAGTTATATTTTTTATAGATAATAAATTAAATTTGTGATTTAAACAGTGATAATGTAGATTTTAATATCATGTTGATTTTTTTTTGGTTAATAGAGATTTATTTATTTTTAATATATTTTTAATCATAATATTAGAATTATGAATTTTTTTTTAAATTTATAATTTTGATATATATACGAATAAAAATAAAAATTTAAATACTGATGTGGATGCTTTGAAAATAATATAGCTTTAACTATCATTAATAATAGAATAATTTTAAGTAACAAACTTTCCTATATTATTTTGTATTAACAATGTAATTTTATAATTTAAAGAAAATTTTAATTTTAGTTATTGATGTGAAATAATAAAATTGACCTTTTATATTTTATGTGGATGTCCTTAGAGGCATATAGCTTTAACTTTTATTTTTCTTTAAATATATTTGTTTGTTAACAGTATAATTTTAAAATTTAGAAATATTCTTAATTTTAAATACTGATGTGGACCAAGATAATTGAACTTTTAAATCATATATGGACATTCTTAATGGCATATAGCTATAACTTTTATTAATAATAGATTTAGAAATCAAACCTGAAAAATCTCACACGAGGCTCGCTGCGGCAAGTGATTTTAGCCTCTCCTCTTTATTATGAGGCTTATCGAATGTATTCATATGCTGCTTGGTCAGCTAATTGCTACTTCAGTGGTTCATGTTGGGTTGTTAAAACCTATTCAGATGCTATGTTATTTCAAAAAATTTCTTCAGATACCTCAGTCTCCTCCGCTATGTTTTTTTTCTCTATTTTCAGTGTTTGGTTTTTCAAAAGTGTCGAGTATCAATCACTTGACATGTTTCTCGGATTGCTTGAAATTTATCATTGTTTTCAAATTTGGTGGTCAAGCTTTGAAGATTTTATAATATATTTTTCAATATTAAAGCGGCTTATAGTGTTTTTGTTTATATCGTTTTTCATTATATTCTTTATAATTTAGCTAATAATTAAACATATAGTTTAGTCAAGTTTGTTCTTGTAGTGGATTTATTTATATCTTCTTTCATTATATTGTTTGTAATTTAGCTAATAGTTAAATATATAGTTTAGTCAAGTTAGTTATTTTACGTTGTAATACTCATTTTTTAGTGAAACATTACTCTATCTTTTGTCTTAGTTTATTTTACATGGTTGCACAGAAAAAAAACTTAAAAATTATTATAATTATGTGAAAAAAATTTGGATGTTCATATAAGAGTCTCTAAATATGTGTGTATATATCTAATTTAAATTTAAAATTTCCTATTTTAATATTGTTTATTTTAGTTTTTTATTATTAATATCAATTTTATATATAATTTTTTTTACTTTTAATAATTTTAAAAACAATAATAGAATTTGGAAATTTTTCAATTTTCAATGTTGAAGTGGACCAATATTTTTTTTTATAAGACCAATAAACTTTTTAAATTTTCTTTTTCAATAATAATATTACAATTTGTAAATTTTCCTTAATTTTGAATGTTGATGTGGACCAATAAAATTGATTTTTTAAATCCTATGTGGATACATTCTTAATTTCCTTTTTTCAGCAATAATATGTTTTATTATTTTTAAATGTTGATGTGGACCAATTAAATTAATTTCTTAAATCCTATGTGGACACTCTTAGAAGCATTTAGCTTCAACTTTTATTAGTATATATATATATATATAAGATAAGATAAGATATATTAAATAGTTTGTTTTATATTAATTAAACTTTTTCAGATATATACTAAATATAATATAAAATTGAATTGGTTTTTTTAATTAAAGTTTTTCAGATATATACTAAATAATTTTTTTTTAATTAAACTTTTTCAGATATATACTAAATAGATTTTTTATATTAATTAAACTTTTCAGATATATACTAAATATATATTATATATTATCCATACAATATTAAAATTTGAAAATTTATTTAATTTTAAATGCTGATGTGGACCAATAAAGTTACCTTTTTTTAAGCCTATGTGGACATCCTTAGAAGTATTTAGCTTCAACTTTTTAGTAATATATATATATATAGGAGAGAACCCGTGCATATTCGCGGTTTTATTTTAATTTATATTTTAAATTATACATTTTAAAAACTTTTATTAAATTTTATTTTTATTATCAATTTTTTTGCCTTTAAAATATTTATATTTTCTTTGATTTTTTAATAACATATTATTTATAACTATTCTACACCAGTTGTACGAAATAGTCCAAAATTTCTCCCATTATGATAAAGAATTAAAAACCTACTATTTAATTTCTGTATAAAAATGTAATAGTTCACATAAAAATATAAGTTGAATACCAGAGAGGAATATTTATTTGTTCTTCCATCTTCATATTCTTTTTATTGTTGTAAATCCTAGTAATATAATATTTGTCAACTTTCTCAATATACAATTTTGTGTTTTTTTGTTATATATATTTGATTGATTTCTGGTTTTTTTGTACAAAAAAAAACAATTTATGACATTTTTATATATCCACTCTTCTTTTTACTATTATTTTTTATATTTTTTTTTATCTCTTTAATCATTTATTAATATTTTTATGTTTTATAAATTTATTAGTTAGATTTTTATATAAGATTATTTGAAACTTCTTAATATATTCAGTTTCATAATTTTTTTCACTTGCACTAAAATTTAATTATTTTTTAGTTTAAAAATAAAATTTAAATCATTTAAAAAAAGAAAATAGAATGATGCATTTAAAAAATTTTGTATTATATAATATTTATAAGTTATAATATATTTAAATTAAATTTTAATTCGTTTATTATATAAATTTATTTATATACATATTATTTATTTATATTCTTTAATGTGTTTCTTTAAATTTCATTAATTATTTTTTAATTAAGATTGTAAATAGACATGTATCACTCTCTCCAATGCTGATGTGGTATTCAGCTGGAGAAAGTTGATTGTCTTTTATATATAAGATTAAATTTTAATTCGTTTATTATATAAATTTATTTATATACATATTATTTATTTATATTTTTTAATGTGTTTCTTTAAATTTTATTAATTATTGTTTAATTAAGATTGTAAATAGACATGTGTCACTCTCTTCAATGCTGATGTGGCATTCAGCTGGAGAAAGTTAATTGTCTTTTATATATAAGATAAGATTATCTACTAAATGTTTTAGGTTTAGGCATTCCGTTTTTCGGTTGCTTTAACTATTACCAAATTTTATTTTAATTCAGTTTGTTTTTTAAATTTGTGTTGTTCGAGTGTCGGTTCTAAATAGGATATTTAAGTAAATAACAAAAATCCTAACTTAATATATTAAAATGTTTTTTATTTGTTGTGGCATATTCAAGTTAGTTTTTTTTTTTTCAAAAAAAGTAAATTTTTTTTTGTCGTCAATTTTATATATTGGAAAGTCCAAAAAAGCAAATACATGTGGTACAGAGTCCAATGGAAGCCCAAACAAGATTTGAAATATACATCAAACACGTGCAAAAAACGTGTATACATGAAACACAAAGTTGAGACACGTGTCTAAAGAGATAATCTTGAACGGCAACTACTTCTTCACCAACAACGATCGCCAGCAAGTTTCCCGATCTTCTATCCACCATGAGCCGCCGTAAGATTTCAAATCTTCAGCTCTAAACACACCACTATAACATCTTCTCTTCTGTAAAACCCAATACAAAGAGACTTATGAAATACCATACACAAATGTTCTATGAACTATACTCTTTATTAAAAATCACTTAAACAATCTTTACAGAATTGTTAAATCAAAATAACACGACAAAGCACACGGCTTCTCGACATTGACCAATTTCTAATTTATCCAAGTAGTTCCCAACACACTTTTGTTACACTTTGAATTAATTCACCAAAAACTCAAGACTATTCTCTCTAAGCTTCCAGTGAATTTCTCTCGTGAACGGCCAACCGGTTTATGCGGTCAACCACTTTGAATTCACTCACCAAGAACCCAAGACTATTCTCTCTAAGCTTCTAGTGAATTTCTCTCGTGAACGGCCGACCGGTTTATGCGGCCTTCACTCCAATATATATCACCTTCTCAAGGAGCAAGTGAATATACACTTTCCAGGATGTTTAGATTTTCAAGATCTCCATATCAAACTCAGAAGATACTCCTTGAAATACACAGAACTTTCTTTCAGAAATTCCACCAATGGTTACCACGTCATTCTTTTTCAAATAATCCAACTCAGGACTCTCGCACTCTTGACTTCCTTAATGTCTCTCTCTGTATAACACACGACCCTTCTTGTGTTGATCGTTAAGCTCCAATTTCTCAAACTTACATTCTCCTCCTTTTTGTCTGAATATGAGATCTCAAGCTTCCTGTATCAACCAAAGATATAACCAAACAAATATCCAGAAGGTAGATAGAATAGTGCAAGACATGTTATTCAAACTGCATCACACAATTCAAGTTTTACATAAGAGAACAAAAGACAGAAAAGTCGATAACGAGTGATCACTACAAGTCTGAAACAACAATGACAGGAACCCAAAAAAAAAAAATCACTACGATGCCATGTAACCAGCAGGAGCCAATTTCTTCAGTCGTCTTCATCTTCATTCAGCTCCCCCTCAATCTTGGAACCACCACAACCATATTCTCCCCCTGTTTGAATGCATATTCAGATAAAAAAAAACTCAAAGAAATTTAGACAGAGAAGATGAGTCAGAGAGTACTTACCTCGAAAGTGAAGCTGAATTCGCTTAAGCCAATGAGACAGCTGTTCCAGATCAGCTTCCAGAGACGGAGAAGGAGAACAGTCATCTTCCCCAGAACCTTTTCCAGCCTTAGAGTCAAGAGTGATCTTTATCGGAAACCCGCGAAGCTCAGAATCAGCACTGTACTGAGAGACCTCATGCTGGAATTTGAGAAGCTGATAAATGAGATTTGGAAAAGGCAGTTTCTAATTCACATACTCAGGTGTACGAGCAGTCATCACAATCTGATCATAAACCAGATGCCCCAGATTGAAACGCTTTCCTTTGATCACAAACGCCAGCAGCTTGATCCGATCCTTGACCATAGTCATATGATTCGAGGTGGCCATCCAGGAGGAGTAACACAGCTTTTAAAGAACTCCATACTCGGGAAGGAGATGTTTGGAAGCAAATCCTTCCCAACGAGTTTTACGACCACCAGAAACAAGGCGAACAACAGCATCAATGTTCATGCTTTCCCAAACTACAGAAGGTTGAGATGCATCAATGAGAAACAGACAATTAATGATCTCGGGAGTGAATTCATACATCTCACCGCAAATGTACAAAAGGTTGACTCCATTTCTATATTCCAAGTCCAGAACAGATGCATAAAACTCATGAACCTCATCAGGACAATAGGGATCAACATCAATCACCGTATAGGTCAGACCGGCTCGATCAAGCATCATCCGAACATGTTCCAACTTGGGATCCTCAAGAGAAAGATATTTATGATCAAAAAACGGATGAAAGCGAAAGGAGTCATACCGATCATGAGCAGCCTCAGAAAGAAATCCGCGAACTGGTATGGTGAGAGGACGGGTGAATTCCGGATGCATGCGGTCATGGGCAAGCTTAACACGGCGATTTTCAGCATATCGAGCTTCCTGATCTTCATAATAGAAACCTTCACGCGGATCCTCAAAGTCATCAACCATATCAGCATCAGCATCAGAAGTGCCGTCATCAGATCCAGCAATCGGGGCAGAGGGCATGTCGCGGGGGTCTTCAGAGACAGCTTACGGAAACCCGAGATTGCTATTGTTGGTACTGTCATCATCCAGAATCAGTACCGGTTCTTTGCCGAGGCGACAATTTGCTTTCAAAAGTCTGGGTGCATCGACGGAGAGCGGAAGCAAGAGTCTCAGAGTCTTCTGGTTCCAACACGAGGCAGCGATAGCAGCAGACATGAATTTTGCCGACTGTTGACGAGTATGGCGAGACATGATGAAAGGAGATAGTTTGTGTGCTCAAAGGGAGAGAGGTGAGTGGCACACGATTAGTGTTTCATAGCACATGAAACATTATCTGGTCTTTATAAACAAGCGGGAACCCTACACTCATGGGCTTGAAAACAAATTGCTAGCTGACAAAGGAAATGGGCCGAAAAGCCCACAGACAATTATCCCAAAAAAAATGATGTGTGACACAGGCAACTTCCAATTTGAGATACAGCTGAACAAAGACATCGACTCAACATTCAAAAGAGAACTAGAATAGGACCCCATGAAGATCAATAAACCTGTACACTTAGAACACCACATACAACCTATGCAATGCAGACATACAAGAAAGCACTAAAAAACTTACAAGAGACGAGTGAGGAGAAGAGGGATGAGTAACCGGTAAACTGACATAGAGAGAAACAACAACACAAAAACGTTTAAGTCACTCTGATGAACACAGTAAGGCAGCAGACCTTTAGCCAAAGCGCTTTCACCTCACTGATTCAGTTGAATCAAGACCTGAGAATCTCAACATTGTCTCCTGAAATCAGTTGCCTATAGGAGAGCTCTTATCACAATCATATCACAGTGTCCTCTTCTACATCAGACGAGAGTGGTCACACCAAGACGTACTCAAGAGATCAAAAAATCTCAGCACCGATGCTGCATTCCCTCAGCTGAGGAGCATTCACACCTTTTTAGAGACATAACATGATAGGTAGTGAGTATTCACTCATCTTTTGCTTCGAGAGGTATAGATTTTGATACTTGTTGTGCCAAGGTTGCTGTAATCTCCTGAGTGAATCTATGTCTTTCGTTTGTGCTGCGTATCCTCATCCGATGAGCATTCACACACTACTTATTTTAGAGCCCAAGACAGGTGTGTTTAGCAAGCACTCAGACTCTAAATGACTGTTAAAGAACTCTGTGCTCAATCCTGTCAGTGATCAGTAACAGATATGGAGTGGTTTGACAATCCATTCCGAACTGAGTGACAATCACATCGAGCAGGCAACCAGAACTCAGAGACAAGGCCGAAGACAACCAGACTGACCCAAACGAACCTGTTCACAAGGTTTTAAAAACAAATGAAATGAAATACAAGAGCTATGTCAGTTCAGACCTGGTCTCACCACTCTTTGAACAGACTTAATGTTCACAAACACCCAACGCCTTTCTCAAATGCAAGAAGGTGTTGAAGTCGAGAGGTTTAGTAAATATGTCTGCAAGCTGTTGTTCAGTTGGAACATGTTTAGTGATCACAAGTTTATCCTCAACTAGTTTCCTAACAAATTGATGTATGATGTCAACATGTTTTGTTCGAGAATGCTGCATAGGATTTTTGGTGAGATCAATTGCACTTTTGTTATCACAATGGACTAGAAAGGGATCATTGAAAATACCATAGTCAGCTAGCATCTGTCTCATCCAGAGTAACTATGTGCAACTACTGCCCAGAGCAATATACTCTACCTCTGCAGTGGAGAGTGACACACAGTTCTGTTTTATGCTATGCCAAAATATCATGTTGTTTCCAAGAAAGAAGGACCCACCAGATGTACTCTTCCTATCATCCAAGCATCTTGTCCAATCTGCATCACAATACCTTGCAAGATTCTCATTAATCTCAACCTGACTTACTCTTTCAGTCTCACTTGTAGCAGCAAAAACAACCTCTTTCTGTTTTGCCTTTTCATCAGCCGTAACTTCCAGTTCTTCAGCTTTGAGCATGCCTACAAAGGTGTCAACTTCATATCGTCTGAGTCCATTGAATATTTGACCACAGTTTTTTTAGCAGCATACTTCGGTGAAAGATATCTGAGAAGTTTTTTCACAAGTTTCTTATCCTTGTATTTTTTCCCAAGAATCAGAGCCTCATTAGCGAGAGTACTGATTTTGGTGGTGAAGCTGGTGATTGATTCATCCTTATCCATCTTGAGATTTTCAAACTGAGAGGCCAGGTGATCAATCTGAGTCCTCTTTACACTCGTGTCCCCTTCAAATGATTTATCAAAATGTCCCAAGCTTCCTTCGCGGAAGTACACCCTTGAATTAAACTGAACTCATCTAGTTCGACTGCATCAAATATTGCATTAATGGCCTTTGAATTGAACTTGGAAGCACTCTTCTCAACATCTATCTAAGTGTTCTTTGGCTTGGTAGCTTTAACAGTGACTCCATCATCATTCACAGACGTCACCACAGGTGCTTGCCACCCTTCTTCTATGGCTTTCCATGCATCTTCATCAATCCCTCTGATGACATGCTTAATCCGTGCTTTTCAGTGACCAAAAGTGCCTGCTTCAAGACGTAACAGTTTTTGAACAGCTATCAGCTTGGTAGTCTCCATGTTGTCCTCAAGATCTCAACCTGTATAAGATTAAGAAATCTACGGAGGTGACCTGCTCTGATACCAAATGTAAAACCCAGTACAAGGAGACTTATGAAATACCACACACAAATGTTCTATGAACTATACTCTTTATTAGAAATCACTTAAACAATCTTTACAGAATTGTTTAATCAGACTAACACGACAAAGCACACGGCTTCTCGACACTGACCAATTTCTAATCTACTCAAGTAGTTCTCAACACACTTGTGTTACACTTTGAATTCACTCACCAAGAACCCTAGACTATTCTCTCTAAGCTTTCAGTGAATTTCTCTTGTAAACGGCCAACCGGTTTATGCGGCCTTCACTCCAATATATATTACATCTCTCAAGGAGCATGTGGATATACACTTTCCAGGATGTTTAGATCTTCAAGATCTTCATACCAAACTCCAAAGATACTCCTTGAAATACACGGAACTTTCCTTCAGAAATTCTACCAATGGTTGCCACGCCATTCTTCTTCAAATAATCCAACTCAGCACTCCCGCACTCTTGATTTCCTTAATGTCTCTCTCTGTATAACACACGACCCTTCTTGTGTGGATCGTTAAGCTCCAATTTCTTGAACTTACACCTTCTAACTTCACCGATGAAGATAATAGAAGCTTCTCTAACTTGCCGAAAGCAACTGAACTATAAGTTTAAAGATTTGACAGCAATTTCTGCCCTAACCAAACCCCAAACTAATCGAACAATACGATTCAAAAATTTGAAGAGAAACTCAAGCTTCATTGCCGGAAAACCGAACTGATCTTCAATTTGAATAGAATTTCCCTCTACTAAGATTAGCAAAAATACTATCCATAAAACAAGAAGAAATTGCTCTATTCCAACAGAAAAAACATTAAGACCACCAATTCTTCTGAAAGGTATCCAAAATCGGAAGCACAATTTTTCTCTCCTAAAAGATGAATCGAGATTAATAAAGGAAAGAAAACAAAAACAAACTAAAAACCAGATTAAAACCGGACACGAAATCGGACAACACTAAAAGAAATCAATACTCGCCAGAATTTTATTATCCAATCAACGGAAATTAACAAAATTGGAGAGAAAAAGTGCTCGCTCTCTCTGAAAGATAGGGATGAGAGAATAGAGTGAGGAAACAAACTCTCCTTTATGTTCATCATATTCAAGTTAGCTAATAGCATATTCAATGCAGTTTCTTAAGTGGATTTTTTAGGCCCAAAATTAAATGAAAAGTAAATGATTTACTAAAAACAGTTTCTTAAATTGGATCTTTAAGATCATCTTTATCAGAGAAGCTCATATGGATTTCTAATTAATTATTATAATATTAATTAAAGCTGATTTAAGAAATATACAAAGAAACTTGTTTTTGATGTATATTGGAGAAATCCAGAAAGTTTTTTTTTTTAATAAAAAAATTTTAATATAGAAAAAGAAAATTTATTTGAAAATAACATTATTTTCTAAACCCAAAACGATCAAAACCCAAATCAAAAACATCCCCAGAGTAAAAGGTTGGCTTTGGTACATTCATACATGGGTAGTCTTGTTTTGGCAAATGACCTTTGTTCAGTTTCTCAACAAGTTCAAGTCATCAAGGTTCAAGTCTTTTTGGAGGGAAATATTGTTAATTACCTCCATCATCTTTCGTCCCTTTTCACCTTCAAACTTCTTGGGGTAAATCGCCGCAACAATCATCATTAACCGCAGCTTGCTTTCTTGGTTTATAACCTGGAAATTTTGATCATTGTCATCAGCACAAAAATCTTCTGATGTCTGAATCTTACAACTACAAAAGCAGAGCATCTTACATTGTTGGTGGTCAAGAATTTGATAACGTCTTTTCTTCCAGCATCCCCAAATACAAGGTCCTGCTCGAGCTGCCCAAGTTCTCTTAGACCTTGTTCCATGATAGTTCTATTAATTGTTCTAGCAATCTGCAGTGACATTAACCACACTTATTTTATGAAAATTAAACGATTTACCTCGTCGCGTCATAGTAATCAACTTGCAAGATAAGAATACTTAATCAAACTCTCTTCCATTGTTTATGTTATAAGCTTAAAATTGACCTCTACATGAAGAGAAAGCTTGTCAATTTGCTCACTGTACTGAGGCAAAGCGTGAACCATCTTCTGCAAATCTTTTGATGAAAGATCACCATCTTCTGTACTGAGGAAAAGCGTGAACCATCTTCTGCAATGTGAGCATCACGAAGTTCCACCCAAATGGGATCTTCTTCATCTAGAAGAACCTCTTTCTTGATTATCACCAGTTTTGTCGTGGCATCAAGCGCTTTGGCGTCTAAACCCCAAATCAAAAGCATCTCCAACCAAATTATTTCAAGTAACAACTAACAGTCGAATATGTTATCAGATTAACCCAACTCAAAAACCCATTTTCCAAATCCTCTTATCTCCGAAAATCAAGTATGTGGCAGTTTATTATTCGTTGAAGTAGGAGAGAGAATGAGGGAATAATATTTTAATAAATAGTGCTGTGTGATATCACAAAACGACGAGAGAGGTTTACCATTGTAACAACAAGACTACGAAGGGTTCTAATTTTTTAAAATATCAAAATTATTAAGAAAAAAACTCTTATCTTATTGTTTCCATAAGCAGTGTATATATACATTACATAACTAATGTATCAGAAACCCTAATGGGCCATGAGACATTAACCTGATGGTTAATGGGCCGGTTACTAGAAGTCCATTTGTTTATAACACTCCCCCTTGGACAAGGTAACCGTGCCTGTCACAAAACCGGGATCTCTATAATGCGCTGGGAAACGTTGCCTCATTAAAACCTTACCAGGAAAACCCAGTGGGAAAAACCATGGTGAAGGAAAAAGAGTACAACACGCATTACTCCCCCTGGTTTAGGCATCACTGTAGATCTCTAAGTCTACGCATTCCTATCTGATCAATGAGCTTCCGGAGTGTAGAAGTCGGTAATGATTTAGTGAATAGATCGGCTGAATTTTCGCTTGATCGGACTTGTTGAACCTTGACCTGACCATCCTCCTGTAGCTCATGAGTGAAGAAGAATTTGGGCAGAATATACTTCGTCCGGTCACCTTTGATGTAGTCGTCATTGAGTTGAGCGATACAAGCTACATTGTCTTCATACATCATCGTAGGCTCCTTATCTTCGTCCATACCACAATCTGATCGGATATGCTGAGTCATGGACCGCAACCAAACACACTCTCTACTAGCTTCGTGAATGGCCAAGATTTCCGCATGGTTGGATGAGGTAGCGCCAATAGTCTGCTTCATGGATCTCCAAGATATGGCTGTTCCTCCATGCGTGAAAACATAACCGGTTTGAGACCGGGCACAGTGCAGATCTGATAAATATCCTGCATCAGCAAAACCAACTAGACCATCCTTGTTATGGTTAGAATAAAATAATCCCAAGTCCTTAGTATCTTGAAGGTATCTAAGGATGTGCTTAATACCGTTCCAGTGCCTTTGAGTTGGACACGAACTAAAGCGAGCTAAGAGGCTCACGGCAAAGCAGATGTCTGGTCTAGTGTGACTAGCCAAGTACATTAATGCTCCTATAGCACTGAGGTATGGCATTTCAGGACCGAGGATTTCTTCATCGTCCTTCTTTGGACCGAATGGATCACTATCCAATCCAAGGCTCCTCACAACCATTGGGCTGGTCAATGGGTGGGCCTGGTCCATATTGAATCTCTTGAGTACCTTTTCAGTGTATGCCAATTGATGCACAAGGATTCCGTCATTGACGTACTCAAGTTGTAATCCCAAACAGAATTTAGTTTTGCCTAGGTCTTTCATTTCAAACTCTGCTTTTAAGCATTTAACTGTTTGGGCGATTTCACCAGATGTTTCGAGGATGTTCAAGTCATCCACGTATACTGCTATGATTACAAATCCTTTGTTTTGATATTTTCTGATGAAGATGCATGGACTGATCGGATCGTTTTCGTAGCCTTCTCTGATGAGATATTCGCTTAACCGGTTATACCACATACGTCCGCTTTGTTTCAGTCTATATAAGGATTTGTTCAGCCTAATGCAGTGTTTATCACGAGATGCATGCTTATCTTTGAGCTCAATACCATCTGGTAATCTCATATAGATTTCACTGTCCAGTGGTCCATAAAGATATGCGGTTACAACATCCATTAACCGCAAATCTAAGCTTTCTCTTATGGCCAGACTTATGAGGAATCAAAATGTAGTTGCATCCACCACTGGAGAATAAGTCTCCTCATAATCGATTCCGGGTCTCTGTGAGAATCCTTGTGCTACAAGGCGTGCCTTGTATCTAACGACTTCGCCGAGTTCGTTTCTTTTACGCACAAAGACCCATTTGTTTCCCACTGGTTTAACATCGAATGGTGTCCTCAAGATCGGACCAAACACATTCCGTTTCTTTAAACTATTCAACTCCACGTTTATGGCTTCTTTCCATTTCAGCCAATCTGATCTACGAGTGCACTCAATTATAGACGTGGGTTCTAGATCCTCTTGCGTGTGCGCAATCTCAAGTGCTACCTTGTATGCAAAAGTTTCATTGATGTCGACATCTTTTCGGTTCCATAGAGAACCGAATATGATATAATTGATTGAGATCTCATTATTATCAATCCCTTCAGAACCTTGAGTTTTGGCGTCCCAAACCTCTTGAGATGGTTCGATAGGGTAAGTATCAGCTGAGGCTGTATCCGTGTTCTCTTGAATCCCGGTTTCAATCATTGCACCTTTCTTTGATTTCCGGGGATTCTTATCTTTGGAACCTGGTGGTCTGCCACGTTTCTTACGTGCGTCAGACTCTGTAGCAACTTGACTTTTCCCTGAGGGGACATCTATTCGTACTGGTGCATTACAAGCTGGTATGTACGATTTGGTAACTTTGTTCGGGTCAGCAAATGAATCTGGCAATTGATTAGCTAGCTTTTGTAAATGTATAATTCTTTGGACCTCTGAATCACATTCTAGAGTCTGAGGATCTTGCCATTGTGTGGATGTTTGATTCCATGAAAGTTCTTTTACCAGCTTGTCTGTCTCACCACCTAATCTAGGATATACCGATTCATCAAATCGGCAATCTGCATATCTGGCTTTAAACAGATCTCCTGTAGTTGGCTCGAGATATTTTATGATGGTGGGAGAATCAAAACCAACATATATTCCCATCCTCCTTTGAGGTCCCATTTTAGTCCTCTGTGGTGGTGCAATGGGTACATAGACTGAACACCCAAATGTTTTAATATAGGAGACGTCTGGCTCATGACCCGTTAGCAATTGGGATGGTGAATATTTGTGCTCACTAGATGGTATGCGTATTAGTTCAGCGGCATGTAAGACTGCGTGTCCCCAAGCTGAGACCGGGAGTTGTGACCTCATGAGTAATGGTCTAGCAACCCATTGAATTCGTTTAATGAAGGATTCAGCTAATCCATTTTGTGTATGGACATGTGGAACGGGATGTTCAACACTTACCCCCATGGACATACAATATTCATTAAACGCTTGGGAAGTGAATTCACCAGCATTATCAAGACGTATAGTCTTTAATGGGAAGTCTGGAAAATGGGCTCGTAATCTGATGATTTGGGCCAATAACCTAGCAAAAGCCTGGTTCCTAGAAGAGAGCAGACAGACATGCGACCAGCGGGTCGATGCGTCAATGAGGACCATGAAATATCTGAATGTCCCACAAGGTGGGTGAATTGGTCCACATATGTCTCCTTGGATTCTTTCCAGAAAGTTCAAGGTCTCTTTAGACACTTTGACTGGTGAAGGTCGGGTAATCAGTTTCCCTTGTGAGCAAGCTGTGCACTTGAGGTGCTGAGGGAAAATACCATTTGGTTTAAGGCTGTGCCCTTTAGAATTCTGGACTAATTTACGCATCATGTTCGCACCGGGATGACCCAGGCGATCATGCCAAATAGTGTAATCTAAAAACCGTGCTTTGATAGCAGCATTAGCCTCAATCATACTGACTTTAGCATGGTAAATGCCAGTAGATACGGCGGGTATAGTTTCAAAAACTTGTTTATGGCCATTTATCATTTTAGTGATAATTAAAAACTCTTTGTTCCCTTCATCCTGAGTTTCGATATGGAAACCATTCAATCTTATGTCTTTGAAACTCAATAGGTTTCTCTTAGAACTGGGTGAGTATAAGGCATCAGAGATGTCTAGATATGTGTCATTTGATAACAGCACATTAGCTTGGCCATGGCCCTCTATTAGGCTCGAACTACCCGCTATAGTGCTAATGTTTGCGGTTTTGATTACTAAATTTATGAAGTAATTCTTGTCTTTTAGAATGGTGTGGCTCGATCCACTATCCACAATGATATCCATATTGTCTTGCATATCTTTTCGCCAAATGGATTTCTGACCGGCTTATGATCTGGGAGCTAAAGACCACAGATATCTACTGGAAACTCCTGAGAATGATGGCCAGAAGGGAGGACGAACAGCTGCTACAATGGAGGAACCACCGCTTGGAAAAAATCACCCGCTAAGGTGGAACAGCGCCGATTGTCTTGAGTCTTGACCGGTTTTCACCACTAGATTCTTCTCTTCCAGGGCTTCAAAATGATATGTAGATCGCCTTCTAACTCCTTGTATTTTGAGAGATATGATCGTTTGAAGTTGAGCTTCGTGCTGATAACGTATTAAGGGAAAAACTCTTATCTTATTGTTTCCATAAGCAGTGTATATATACATTACATAACTAATATATCAGAAATCCTAATGGGCCATGAGACATTAACCTGATGGTTAATGGGCCGGTTACTAGAAGTTCATTTGTTTATAACAAAAATTTAATTATTATTTTATTTTTTTAACTCATAAAGAATTCACCATTGTGGATGCTTTTAACATTTAGACCAAAAAAAAAAATGATCGGTGTGATTTTTTGGCTAAGGAAAATTTCATCCTGCAACCAATAAGAAGCGGCCATGTCATCAAGAAGGATCGATCCTTGAAGATTCTAAGAGCAACTTCAATGGAAGAGATCCATATGGGTCTTCAGACCTTTATTTTAATAGTTTTTGAGTAAAAAAGTAAGATTAGAAACAAATTTTAGAGACTTTTTTGTTTTTGCTATGCAATAGGAGAGATCCATATGGGTATTTTAAAAAAAAATTTAGATGGCTGTAATCATCAAACGATCATGATAGAGATGATGAACAATGCAGGAAATTGAAACAGAGTAAGTTACAGAACATTGCGTAGAGATGAGGAACAATGCGTATACTCTGTTAATTATATCTGCCCCCCACAACAACAACATAAATAATATTCTTCCCTTATGTATACGGTAATCATTTTCAGATCACTAAACTGGCTTTTGTTTGCTGTGAAGAAGAAGAAGATAACCTGAAAATTAAAGCTATGTCTTGAGAATGATATCGATCAACAAGAATTTGGTGTGAATCTTCCGGATTCAAATAGCAGAAGTTTATAATTATGTACCCAAAAATAAGGCAGAGTGATGATGTTGGTGCTGAGAAGCCATTGAGCACCATAGCCAACAAAGCCCATACCCCCCACCGCAAAAAGAACGAAGGAGAGAGGGAGATAATCTAGAGCGATCTCCGACGACCACCCAAATCGGAAGCCACCGTGAGGTAATTCAACATGACCTGACAAATCCCGAGTACTGATTTGAGATGGGAGGAGTAAGCCAAGAAATCGAAGTTAGTCCCTGTCGATGCCTGGATCCAGATTGCCGCCACGAGCACAGTCCATTTCCGCCAGCGACCGAATATGGTCATGAGAGGCGGCCTCATGGAGAAAACAAGGAGGGAAGACCCAAAAAAAAGAGAGAAGAAAAAAAAAATGTCTCCAAATTCTTTAACAAATAAAAAGATAACACGTGGTGAAGAAACGAGGAAAAGACGTCCCCAAATAGGAAACGTATATGAAAATAAAGAAACCCATTCTAGTTTTTTTAATATTAAGTTTCTATAGAAAAGCTCGTATATACGGCGTTAAAGATGCCCTAAGGGCATCTCCAACCCACCTCTATTTTTAACTCTAAAATTCTAAATGCTATTTTAGAGGAAAATCCTTTCCAACTCACCTCTATTTTCATCTCTAAAATAGCATTTCTCTATTTTTTCCTTTATATTTGGAGGACCTCTATTTTTTACTCTAAAATAGAGTTGAACTTCTTTATTTATAAATTAGTCCTTTAAGTTTCAAATCTTTTTATTTATTACTAAAATAAATAATATAAATGATATAATTCAAATTTAACAATAAAACTTAACAAAGTTAATTTCAGATGTATTATACCTAAACAAAATTCAGTATTTGATAAAACATTATACTCTTATTCATTTTGACATAAAAAAGACTAGTGATTTAACACAAGACAAAAATATAGTGATAGTGATTTTAAACCAAAATCTACTATGTTTTTATTTATTTTTAAATGATATTATGAATTTTAATTATTGAATAAATGATTATTTTAAGTTATATCATAATGAATAAAAAGTTTGTAAAGAATAAAACAAGTGGGGTTAAATTGTATTTATTTACAAATAGAAGATATTAATAATAAAATAAAAATAGAATATATTTAGAATATTCTTTTTTTAGAGTCAAAAATAGAGGAATACATTGGAGTAAAACCCATCTCTATTATAGAGTTCCTCTATTTTAGAGTAAAAAATAGAGGAATACATTGGAGATGGTCTAAATAAAGATCGATTCTTCTTCTTTTGCTCATTTTTTTCATTAAAAAAGCCCATTTAATCACAAAAAACTCAAAGAGAAACCCAGATATCTATCTAACACTAATTAAGCATTCCTCAACCAGTCCATTTATTACCTAAGCCAACCAATATCTACCCTAACTAGGCATTCAATAGCATCTAACTGAGTTGAAGATTTACCTTAACAGCTTCCTAAAGCCAAATCAACAGCTGGATGTGAAGAGGAAGAGATCCTTTTGTTACGAACTGAATCTGCAAAAACATAAACCCAATATAAGACACAATTGATCATGACCATTTATACCTCTCTTTAATTATCATCATTACCTAAGCCAATATCTATTCAGAAAAAATCAATAATTCATCGATCCAAATCAATAATTCACTTGAAAATAATTCATCAATCCAAAATCCAAAATGAAACCGATAGATCATGAACACTCCGATGAATATATACACCCTAAATCCTCCCTTCCTAAACTATTTCTGTTGATCCGAGTAAGCAAATCCAGGACACAATAAGAATAACAAAAAAAAACAACCATACATATCTAAAAGAAGACAAATCGCTTATCTGTAAAATCGATGGAAGAATCGAGGCATCATCCGCGTATCATGCCGGAGGAGACGACCATCGCGCCGGAGATGACGACGGAGAGAACGGGTCGTCGACGAGAAGATAGAAAATTTGTGTCGAGGAAATAGTCGAAGTCGATTTCCAATTTAGCCGAGAAAATGAATCTCCAGTACGCGATTTCGTCGAGGAAGAAAATTGACCCAGTTTATTTTTCTCTTCAAGTTTTCAAACCAATGAGATCATGACACCTGTCTAATTAGGATCGATCCCTGAGACGCCAAATAAGAATCAATCCTAATTGTTTTTAGGCCGTAATTATTTATTTTAATTATCAAAAGCCATTAGAAACCCACTTAAGGATCAGTGATAATTCTGGTCTGATTAGAGCATGTACATCAGTGATACTAATTTTGAGTATCTTAGGTTTATTTTATTGATTTTCTTTTATCTATAATCAGTGAAGAACTTTTATTTTTTCCTTCCTCCATTGGTGAACTTCATTGAAGTTCTTAAAAATTAAAAAAAAAATTAAGAGAAGACATCTTACTAGTGCCACCAAATAAGCCAAGTGCAATGTCAAGACTTAACAAACACATTCAAGTATTTGAAATCAAAGACATCACCCAAACGCACAACGATAAAAGGTTCAGTGAGTATGTAAATCTCTTGTGAACACATTACAAAATCTTCTTGCCTCCTCGCTTTGATATTCTTTGAGATCATCTCTGTTATTGCAGCTGTGCAACGATTTATTCATATGGAAAGTGAAGCTCATCTCTGAAGGGAATGATGATACCTCTCTTTTTCTGTCATCATCTTCTTCTTCTTCTTGGAAATTCAGTGAAGAAAGCCTTTCTATGATCAGATTCTCTACTGGCACGTGCTCAAAGTTTACCTCCTTAGCATCAGAGATTGTTGTTGGTTCACCATCTTCATGTAGCATCATTGCAGGGTAGATACTCACAAATTGGGTAGCAACAGAGAAGATTGATAAATTGCAAATCTCTTTGTGCTTTTCAATGAGTAGAATACTTTAATCCAATCCTTTGATGCTAATTACTCCAGTAATCTCTTCAATTTACTAACCAAGCAAAATTTAGATTGAGTCTATGATCATTCAAACAAACAATTCTACATGTTTCAAGAATCAGGTAAGAATCTGACCTGAACAGAGGACTACGGATCAGTGAATCAAATCAGCAATCCTGTTTATTGCGGCCATTACATTCTCTGCAATCTCCTTCCTTCCCATTGACAATTTTGCCACCTTGACAACACTGCAAATACCTGTCCCCACTCTCCACAAAGAACAATTGTCATTAGCCTCCTCTCCGCAAAATACAGCTCGAACCGTTTCTCCTCTACTAATTTGCGTAGATCGGACTTCAATTTGGAGACCTTAATCACGGTGCTGTTTGGAATCTTCTCTGCTTCGACCTTCTTCAAGGCCGCTTCCTTTGTGATTTTGTTCTTGTGTCTGTCATCGATTATCAAACAGAGCTCCGGAGAATCTTCCACCAGGTCGATGAGAGGATGAATTCGATCGGAGAAGACGAAGACAATTACTAAACCAAAAAGTCTCGCGAAAGAATGCTCGTGAGAGAGATGATTAAAGAATGGAAAACCCGAGTGAAATTTCGCAAAACGCTTTAAACAACTCTAAATAATTCGACCAATCCCCAAGTGCCACGTCCCTGTAAGAGACGGATTGTTAGAGCATGTATATCAGGGGATCAAGAGGGGTTTATGGCACAGTTTTTGAGACAAAAGAACTTAATATACAAAAGACAGTATCATTCTGACGAACCTGAAGAGACGGTATCATCCAAAATGGAGCATTCTGATTGATCAAAAATTATAATTTTCGAATTAAAAAAAAACAAAAACTAAAAAAAAAAAAAATTATTATATTCCGGTGTTATTAGGGATTCATTGATGTATATGTTCTTAAATATGTTATTTAAGAGACGGGTTCAGGAGAAAAGGCCATTTAAAAAAAAAAAAAATTTCGCATATGTTTTCGGGCCTAAAAAAGGTTTAGATACCCTAATAGACATGGTCTAAGAATAGATTTTTAAGGGCTAAGTGTCAAACCTAGATTGGAGAAAAGAATGTCTTCCACCAAAATCTCTTCGACCAAAAACTTTCTTCTTCGGCCAAATTTTCTTCGTCTTCTCCGTCTCCTTCTCTTCACCGCCGCCTATCTTCTTCTCCGTTTGAACCCTTCTTCTTCCAATCTCCTCTCGTCTTCCAATCTCCTTTCGAGCCTTTCGTCTCCCTCTTGTCTCTCTCTGTAACAGGTATTTTGTCTCCTTCTCCCTTTTGATTTTGCAGAATCAGAGGCGTTGATTCAACCTTTGCGAAGTGAAAATAAGAATTTGCAGGAGATAGTGAAGAATTTGAGAAATGAAAATACTTTAATCAGGCATGTAAATCATATTACTGTGTTAATTTGCCCTGACGTTTTTATAGAGCTGTTATATTTGGAGAAGCAACGTTTATGATAGTTGCTGATTAATTGCATATGTCATGGATTGTGTAGCGTTTTAATCGGACATGATATGATTTTTTTCCAGGAATTTAGCTGAGATAAATTGCTTCATGGGAGAGTGATGATGACTTGTTTATAAGACCGTGTAGAATTATATCTTTGTTGTTTTCTGGTTTATGTAGTTTGTATCCTTGTACCTAAAGAGTGAATTCTTACAGACAAAACACTTTCTGAAGAAGTTGTCAAGCTAAAAGAGCTGGTCCAAGAGGGAAAAACTTCTGAAACTGCTCAAGTTACAACGAGAAGCAAGAGAAAACGTAGCAGAGTGTCAGAAGATATGGTAGAAACGGACATGGTATCACCCCTTATAAGTAAATATCATAAAGCAACGGTAAAACAAATCACTTTTTATCCTTTCAGTTTTGAGCTAAATGTTGCGCATATTGCTACACTAACCCAGTGGATTATGAAATTTTCCTTACTAAAATTTGTTCTTGCTTTTGTTTCAAGGAAACTCTCTTGGTTTCTCAGCCACAATGCTGCAAAACAACCTACGATGGATCAAGTAGTTTGAGATCATTAGCCACCAGAAAAGCACCGATGCTGAATTTTTCTCCTTCACTTTTGACCATAACAGGTTTATCATTCATCCTAACTTTTATTAAGTGAAGAGTCTGGGCTACTATACAAGGTTGTATCGCTCGGGACATTCCAAAGATTGGGGCCGAAATGGATGAAAGATGTCATTAAGTTCCACACAAGTATGTGCCCCGTCTTTTTTGAAAGAGTCTCTCGACTCACTAAGGGCAAGTGTTGATCGGTATGTACATCTCCCTCCCTTATCTTGTGTCGTTACCTCTGATGGCTTCTTAGTGTGATGTTTCTCAATAGGTTTAAAAGTTAGGGGAGTTATTATATCTGTAGAAATGTATCTCTTTTCTTAAAACAAAAAAAAAGGAACCCTTATGGGTTTCTCCTATTGAAAATGATATTACATAAGCTTCTTAATATAAATTTTTAACTTAAATTTAATAATAAAATATTCTTAGTTCGCCTTTTGGTTTGAGTTTGGTTTCTCCCATTAAACATGTTCTAAGTTCGCCTTTTGGTTTCAGTTTGGTTATTTTCCTCAAAGAGATTGGTTATTTTCCTCAAAGAGATTGGTTATTTTCCTCAAATCTCTTTGAATCTCATCTCTCATTCATATATATCATTAGAACTAATGTATATACTACCATAATATTAAAACTTCTTAAATGGATTTTATGTAAGTAAAATGGAAAAGAATTATGATGCGTTGTGACTTGTAAATATACCTTGTGGCTTGTGTTTAACAACTTTGCTCACATTCTATTTTTCTATATTACTATATATCAACTCGTTTTAATATTAATTAATAGGCTTTTCTATCCTAAAATCAGGTATTTATGTTTATATCATAATTTTTAATAATATCTTTTAAATTACATTTGTATATAAATTTTGGTTTGAAATAAACAATATATTAAATTTTTGTCTTTTAAAGTTGATTATGTATTGCTGATGATCTTCTGTTTTATGATGATCTTCTGATGATCTTCAAAAATAAACAGTATATACATTCTAAATTGGCGCCGAAATGGATGAAAATATATGATGTGAATATTTATGATGATTTTCTGATGTGATAATTAATTTTTTTACATGTAAATGTTTTTAAATGTATTATAGTATTATCTTCAATTTTATCATCAATAATATTGATAATAGCCATGGTTTTTTTATAAATTTTAAACTTATGACATGTATATTTTTACATAGAGGATCCAATATGGTGTTAAAAACTATTTTATTGCGATAGTTATGATTGTTAATCATAATTTATATGATGAGATTTGTTAAAATTTTGAAATATAACATTATTCCATGGAAATTTTTAGAAAATTATATACGGAATAGTAAATTTTCTCTATAAATTAATAATTATTAATTTATAGATAAATTAATATCACAATAAATTAATAAAATATTATAGTCTCAACATTATTAATTTATAGAAATTTTATTGTATATACATCTATTTTAAAAGTATATTATAAGATAATTGATTCGCACAAACAATAATTTTTTTTACTAAATAGTCTTAAGAGAAAAAACAAAAAAAAAGGTGGTCGAGGAGGAGAAGAGAATACCAAAAAAGCCAAATCATCTACTGTGAAACCTGAGACTAAGAAACGTTTTCTTCAGACAGCTGAACCAAAAGCTTCTGCAAAGATAGTACAGGGTGTCTCAGTAGAAGAGTGGTGGAGAAGAAGAGATGACCAAAAAGTCAAATCTTCTGCTGCAAAATTTGAGACCAAGAAGCTTTCTGGTTGAGACAGATAAACTAGAAGCTTCTGCAAATAAATTAAAAGGTGGAGAAGATGAGAAGAAGAGTGGTGGAGAAGAAGAAACGAAGAAGAACTATTTCCAATGGATATGGACCAAGGATGATGAGATTGCCCTTCTACAAGGAATTATTGACTACAATAAGGATAATGAGAACCTTTATGAAGACACAAACAGTTTCTTTGAGCTTGTGAAGAAATCCATCAGTTTTGAGGTTAGCAAGTCTCAGTTAATGGAAAAGCTGAGGAGATTGAAGACAAATTATCTTGGCAAAAGAAATAAGAAGAACGGGGAAGACCCGACTTTTTTCAAGGCTCATGATCAGAAGTCTTTGATCTGTGCAAGATTCATTAGGGAGCTGATGGGAAACTAGTTTCTGAGTCAGTTGCTGATCTTGTCTCTTTTCTCATCATTTTTGATGTTTGAGCTCTTTATGGCTTATTTTTCTTCTCTTTAAACATTTAGAACTTTTTTATACCAGACAACAACTAACTCATACCTTGTTATCCCCTTAGTTCTCATCTTCCTCCACTTTCTACTTTCTTTCTCAACTCAATCCCAATAAACTATTTTTTTTCTTTGTTTTTGACCAATATATTTTTTCCCCACACTTATCCTAGCCGATATCTACTAGTTTATCAGTAATGGATATGGTGACTGATCAAAGGTTTATCAAAAACTGATTCAGGAACTAGTTTCCCTTTAGCTCCCCAAAGAATCTTGCATAGATCGAAGACTTTTTGATCATGAGCCTTGGAAAAATTCAGGTATTTCCCATTCTTCTTCTTCCTTTTGCCAAGATACTTTGTTTTCAAGCTCCTCAGCTTCTCCATAACTAGGACTTGCTAACTTCAAAGCTGATGGATTTCTTCCCAAGCTCAAAGAAGTCGTTTGTGTCTTCATAAGGGTTCTCATTATCCTTGTTGTAGTCAATAACTCCTTGTAGAAAGGCAATTTCGTCATCTTCAGTCCAGATACGTTGAAAATAGTTCATTTTCGTCTCTTCTTCTCCAACACTCTTTTTCTCGTCTTCTCCACCCTTGACTTTCTTTGCAGAAGCTTCTGATTTATCTATCTCAACAGAAAGCATTTTGGTATCATATTTTGCAGCAGAAGATTTGACCTTTTTGGTCATCTCTTCTTCTCCACCACTCTTTTTCTGAGACACTCTTGACTCTCTTTGCATAAGCTTCTAGTTCATCTGTCTGAAGAAAAAGCTTCTCTCAGGTTTCACATCAGATGATTTGATTTTTTTGGTATTCTCTTCTTCTTCGACCATGTTTCTTTACTTCTTCTCTTGAAACTATTTAGTTAAAAAAAAAATATTGTCTAGGTGAGTCAACTAGCTTATGATATTATTTAGAAAAGAGAAGTATATACAATACATAATCAGCTTTAAGAGACAAAAAATATATATTGTTTATTTCCATAACCAAAATTTCTATATAAATCTAATTTTAAAAAAGTTTATAAAAAACCATGATATAAACAGAAAAATATCTGATTTTATGATATAAAAGTATATTAATTAACGTTAAAACAGGTCGATATATAGTAATATAAATAATAAAATATAAAAAAGTTTTAAACACAAGCTACAAAGTATATTCATAAGTCATAACGCATCGTAATTTTTTTCCTTTTTATTTACGTAGAATCCATTCAAGAGGTTTAAATATTATGGTAGATATATGCATTAGTCTTTTTTCCAAACATAGACGCTAAAAAATTCTAACGATATATATGAATGAGAGTGCTCACTACGTAAGCACAACCTTTATCACCTCAAACCTCTCTATCTATCATCGATTTATCATTGATAAATAATGTGACACTGGACAGATGGTGATGATGATAACAATAGATACCAACCAAAGGAAGTTTTCTTAATTGAGGGAGAAGATAGTCTAAAGATTCTTAGTAACAAGTACAAAAGTTTTAACTAATCGTACCTAATCTTATATTTTATTGTTCGGTTTGATGTAAATCTATCTTAGTGTTTATTATTTTCTGAAGTGAAGGTTTAAGCAATCATAGTCCCTTTTTTCAACACTCTTAGGCGGGCATAGATATCATATGTATTCGCTAGTGATTGATGCAGCTCGTTTGATGATTTAATTTTGTCAACGCCAATACTTTTTAGCAGTTTCGTTGGAGAGAAAATATTACAAATGTAAGTTTTTGAATGTTAAAATTATTACGAATGTGTTCATGATAATATACATAGAAATATTTAACAGCTTAATTTAAAAAGAAAATTAAAAGACAAACTGACAATGAACATTTAATAGTGTTGGTGAATTCACCAAGACATACATTTCACAGTTTGTTTTTACTTCTATTTCTTAAAAAGAATGTTAGGACTTTGACGATAAAAAACATAGTGACAATAAGTTTAACATTGTGGGTGGATTCAATTAGAGATACACTTAGTTTGTTTTTACTTCTTTTAAAAAAAAATGTTAGGACATTTAGTTGCTGATTAAAGAACAATTTTGGTTTTTCACAAAAAGAAAAAAAAAGCATAATTACAATCATATATAACTACAAATCCAACCAATAAGACATATGCGTAACAAGCTACATAGCCATATATTTATCAAACATTTTTTTGTTTGGCAAGAATTATTACAGTCAATGTTTCAAACATTTCTTGATCTAGTTAATTTTGTCAACAAGTGAGATTTTACTACAAATGTGACTTTTTGAATGTTAAAATGATCACGAATGTGGCCATGAATGTTTACATAGAAATATTTTACAGCTTAATTAATTAAAAAAAATCTTAAAGACAATAAACATGTAACTGTGTAGGTGGTTTCACTAAGACATACATTTCACAGTTTGTATTTACTTCTATTTCTTAAAAAAATGATAGGACATATTTAAAAAAAAAAAACTGGAGTAATCCTAAATTTCCTAAGCTTAGACTAATATCCAGCAGCCGGACTCTATACTAAAACATTCTCAAATATATTTGGTGCCCAAATGGAATCGAACCCAAGGCTGAGGACAAGCAAATATTCAACCTTTTCCAAACCACTAGGAGACCACCACTTGATTGAAAAAGAAAAAAAAATGTTAGAACTTTGACAATAAAAAAACAAACTGACAATACTGTGGGTGGATTCACTAAGAGATACACTTCACAGTTTGTTTCTACTTCTTTTTCTTTAAAAAAAATGTTAGGACTTTTAGTTGCTGAATGAACATTATAGTTTTTCACAAAAAAAAACTTAATTACAATCACATATAACTACAAATCCAACCAATAAGACATATGCATAATAAGATATATATATATATAGCTATATATTTATAGAATTTGTTTTTTTCCCAGAATTATTACAGAGTCAAAATTTGAAACATTTCCTGGTCTAGTTAACGATAACTGAAGTTGGCGTCTACTACAAGTCTACAATCAAACAAAAACCAAGTGTTCCACGAATCTTAACAGAATTTTCTCTAAAGACAGTATTTCAGGGGCAAAGGTAATTGTGATAACCTGATAAATAGACAGAGTCAAAGACAACGCATTGACTTTTGTCGTAAGAACTACGAAATAGAAACCAAGCCTTTCAAAGTTCAAACACGTCTCCTACCGTGACCGTGACAAGTTCTTCCTCGACGTCTCATGCCGTACACTAACAATATAATGATTTATATAGTTCGCTATAATGGTGCAAATGGTAGACTTGAGCATATTTTCGAGGAAACGTATTTTGCATGATTACGCTGTTAATACTCGATTCTGCATAATTAATACTTCCTCCGTTTCACAAAGAATGTCATTCTTGACATTTTTCACACATATTAAAAAAATTATTAAAAGTACAACTTTATCCTTTATTAATACATTAAATGATTTGTTTTTATCTAGTAAATACATAAAATTAATAGGGTTAAAAGTGGAATATTATTTAAAATTTTGCATTAAAAATATAAAACGACATTCTTTGTAAAACAAAAATAAAACTTTAAAACGACACTTTTTGTGAAAAGGAAAAAGTATTAAATGAAAAAAAAACTGAAATCCTTGAATGCTAGCAAAATTGTAATATTACACAAAATCCCGATTATTTTTTATTCTACGCAAATTATTTTATAGTTCGCTTGGTGCAATGGTAGAATGATCATATTTTTGTGGAAATGTGTTTTACATGATTACTTACATGGTTGATAAAAAATGAAAAATAGATTGAAATCGTTGAATAGCTAACAAAATTCCCGTTTATTTTTACCAAAAAAAAAATTCCCTTTTATTTTCAATCTAAACAAATATTATATTTGTGTTATCCCGCAATCCTATAATATTATCAAAAATAATTTAATATGATTATGCTATTTAACCCAATTGAAAATTTTCTGGTTGATGATTAAAAAATTCTGGATCAAACCCGTGCATCCCACAATTTCGAATTCTTAAAACTAATATATGTAATATAGTTTGGTTTCAAATGCCATTCATTGATTTAATAAGTACGTATCTCTATATTTTGTTTTTGGTGGTTTTTGAATCAAAATAGCAACACTTGGTGAAAAGTATTATTTCACAAAGTATACTATATATAAATAATCTTTATGTCGAGGAATGTGACTGTGAGGTAAAGTGATACCGAGACAAGAGCCATTAGTCATATTGTCTCTTCTTTATGTATTTTATTCGTCAACCCCAATGTTGGATTGGAATATGCCTGTTTCTAAAATTAAAGTAACAATTGAATTTGTTTATTTATAGGCTTTGGAAAACGATGATACTACCAATGGTGTTGGTTGAATATTACAATTACAATATCAAACAACTAATCTACTATGATTTCAAGGAAATCGTCGGGGAAATTCGGCACTCCACTTTAAAGTAAAAAATGAGTTTCTAAAACGACATAGTCGGTTTTGTTCCCGTTTATAATGATCTGATTCAAATGATATCACCAAACCCATCAGAGTGTGCGTTTGCAACACCGTTTAGTGATATAGAAGCTTTACATGTTTATGTTGTAGGATTCAAGTTGTGGTGATGAACCAAGAGAAGAAAACGATATATAAATGTGTTGATAAACTGGTATGCTCTAAATATGGGTAAAGTATTCACATACGCAATATCGAAAGAGAAATTTGGTGGCGTAGCGACAAGAGCTATTTAAATATTTGAAAACTAAATTTTTTATGGTGTGGAAAGTACTCTAAACTCTTTCAACTCTTTTTCACTCTAGCATCTCTTGAGAATGATAACGTATACGTTCATACATTTTCATTTTTTTCTGACAGCTTTCTCTTTCATCAACTTTAATTTAAATTATTTTCTCACACTTTTATAGTCAAGCTTAGGTCTTTGAAATTCATTCATGAATTTCTAAATACTGCTACCACACC